ACAAAACCATTGTTACGCTAACTGGTAGTCATTGAAAGCGACTGACATTGGTAATGGTGAGATGAAAACGACCTTTGACTTAGAATTATTGATTGTTTGGATCAGCACAGTTAAATAGGAGGATCGTAGTTATCTGAATGTTGTTTAGGCTAAGAATTTTTAGACATCTCTTTCGGGAATTTACTCTAATAGCAATTCAAGATTTTTGATCACGTTGCATATTATAAGTCACTCCCGCCAGCCATTATGGCTCACCACTGATGACTTCTTGATATCCTCTTTCACATGTGAACAGGCAGAGAAAATTGTTATGAAAGTAAATGAATAATTAGGTAGAGGAAGTTTCAAAATGAAGAAATCGGTAATCAACTTCTAAGTAAGAGACTTTTTTGCCTGATGTGGATGTCTTTGATAAACATATTAACGAGTTATCATTGAAATTTAGGCTTACAATGGTATTTCAAACATGATGAGTTTGAGGAGTCAGTGGCAAAGTTGGACTTGATAGTTTCAAACCAATTGGGGATCGAATAGAAAGTTAATGGTAAATTTATTTTATGATGTCCCAAGTAGAAAATTGTATTCCAAACATTTTCTTTAACCAACATCATAAAGGGTCTGACAGGATCATATTTGAACGTCGATTCCAAAAATCTTCAAGTGATCGAAAATAAAGTTAAATCAGAGACCATTGCACCATCAAGAGGACTAAAGCCTGTTATTCACGTTTTCTTATGGTTTGACTGATATCCTGAATCCAACACCACACTACATTTCTTTGAGCTTCCAAAAAAATGGAAAGCCTGTCACTCCTTTAAAATCCATAGTGGACTTCACGGATACTCCCATATATGCTCTATCTAAATATCTGAGGAGTACATTGGAGCCTCTTCAGCATAACTTATGAAATACAAACTACGTTTGGGAGAAGAATAACTGCCCGTGGAATAAATGTATTAACGCACGACCCAATAGAAATCAGAACAAGGTGATTGGGGTAACAACGGTTCTAAATTTCATTATAAATACAAATGTACAATTTTACGTAAAAAAATTTTTACCACTCAGTTATTCAGCCGATAATTGTTCCCACAATATTCGATCTAAATTACAATAAATAGACAAATCGATAAGAAATATAAGAGAATTACCGAACGATCCATAAAGTAAGTGTTGTTCAAACCTTTCTGGATAGATCAAGTGAAAAATCCACTCAATGAATTTCTTTATAACACAAAGTGTTTCAAATTCTGGGACAGTGCTCCAATTTACAACCGAAAGGCACGATCCCAGTCAAATCAAACAACACAATCAAAGAGGGAACAATTAATATGGCAGCCGGCAGAATAATATCAATTGAAACAAATTAGATACAGTACAAGAAAAAACATAGAGACCCAACGAAAGCGATAAAAAAAATTGAGAAAACTATTATGAGATGAAACATTACAATTTCAAATGACGTCAAAAAAAATTAACAATAATGTACAAGTAAAGAAACCATTAAGAAGTTGCAAATGTATACGTGGAGGAATTTTCACACAGGAAACCTTCAAAACGGATCTTACATAACCTAATTAATGCCGTAATGGATTCATATGAAGTTATGTTAAAGATCTCGTGACTACCCGTCATCAAGAACGAAAAGGTGCCATGCTATAATGTTTTATCTTAATACACCAGTATTCAAATTGATATATGACTAGATTTCGATGATAGTTTGCTAGAGAATGATAATATTTTAACCCGTGAAACGTCAGAAATACAATTTCTACCCATCGGGATAACACAAAAACATATTTGTTGTTAAGATGTATATAAGTTTTACTATTTTACGCACCGGAAAAGTATTTCGCTAAACGAGGGATCTCATTTTTCATTTCTTCGCTGTTTGACTCTCTAGGTCTAATTCGTCCAATCTGCCGTAGCTACTAAACTTTACCTAAGGAAGATTTTTAAGGCTCAGGTATGTTGCGATCAGACGCTCATCAAGCCTTATGTGTCCATCTAGCTGGATTGGGTTACTTTTATGTGTCAGATAGACCATGTTACGGTGTCTCAACGGATTAGAAAGAGGACTGACAGACTCGGATCGAAGCAGAACGACATTGACTCGGTGATGTATCAGATATTGGTTGTGGAGCTTTTTGTCGAGCACAGAATAATTATCCGAAGCAATCAACATGCTGTATTTTGTTCTGTAGATGGTCTCTAGCAGCAAAGATCAAACAGGTCACTATACCAAGACTGGAGATTGCGGCAGCGGTGTTATTTGTTAGGATGAGTGAGACGTATTCCTAGTTTTTCCTTTGAAGTGAATTTTTATGGACATCCAATAATAGTGCTGTATTACATTAAGAATGCTGACTGTCGGTTCAGTACCTATATAACAAATCGCCTCGCTGTCATGAATCAATACATGGAGGTTATGTGGTGTGGTCTACTTATATCCATATAAGTAGTATATTGTGTGGGTCAGACATAGAATGTATTTCGTCAGAAGACCGATAATTAAAGAACTGAAATGAAGCGCAATCGTTTTGAAAATGCATGAGCAATGGAATAAGAGAAGAAACAGTGAAGATTGAAACAATTGTTTGTTAATTTGCAAATTGACTGTTCATTGTTTGGTTATCAGAATTTACTGAGATAGTCTGTAATCTTTGCTTAAATACATTCGATTGTCCCTAACCAGTGTTCTGTTCACTACAGTTAGATTGTGATGTTACTTGAAATCGTCACAGAACCCAACTGATTGGACCTCAAGAGATATGCAGAAAGTGATCGATCCTAAATCTTGGTTTGAATGAGATGATTAACTAACTGTCCTCAACCTACTCTTGAAAAAATTGAGTTCAAAGAAACAACTGTTGTGTTTGAAATTGATCAGCTCTGTAGACTGGTTTCGGAGGTTCATCAAATTTCTAGTAATTCTACGTTCATCGATTTTTGAAGTGTCTCTTCATCTAAATTACTCAAAGGTCATTGAGCTCGGGGTTGCTAGGTGTTACGTTTTAATGATGGTGGAAGTAGAGGTGCATGGAGAACTACTGATTGAACTTAAAAATAAAGGTTTTCACTTGAGAGCCTCTTCTAGACAAAGAACTAGACCCAAATACAAATCTGCCGCTCACTGTGGACTTTGATCGAGACGGCATACAAAAGGTACTTGGCACTATAGACATGGAAATACCAACAGAACTGGATAAACTACTTCTTAAAATCTTGAGGCAAGTTGCGCAAAATATTGCTGTCCCATTGGCTACGATACTCAATAAATCACTTGACTAAGATGTGTTATCCACGAACTGGAAAGATGCAGTCGTCACTTCAATACATAAAACAGGACCAAAACAACTTCCATCAAACTAAAGACCTGTCGGTCTCACTGTAGTGAACAAGAACACTAGTTGGGGATAATCGAATGTATTTTAGCGCATTACAGAATATCTCATTAAAATATGAGGACCACATCGTGAACAGTTATTTTGCAAAAAGACAATCAATTGTCCCAATTTAAGTGTTTTTTCAGTAAATATTCGTCCACATTCTACGATTCTAATTGTTCATGCTTTTTCTTACCAACTGCGAGCCGTTCCCGTCCTCTCCTTATCGATCTTCTACTGAAATACATTCAATGCCCGACCATCACCGTATGCTACTTATGTGGATATCAATAACCCACGCAACATTACCAGTACTGTAGTTAAAATACTGCAAAGATCATAATGAAGACTGTGAGACACAACAGCTTGTTAAACAGCGAACAACATGGTTTCCGAATCGGTTTACCCAGCATCACAAATCTCTTCATAGGAAGAGAGAAATGGATAGAGGATCTAGGCAATAAAATGTTAGTGGTTTTTTTCTACGCAGAATTCAGCGAAGTTTTTAACAAGCTGCCAAGGAGTAGACTACGCTTGAATCTGGAAAATATAGGTATTTCCGAGCCTCACACAAAATGGATCAGGGATCCCTTAATAGGTCGTAGAAAGAAATAATGGAATTCAATTGTTCCACCTTGAAACTATTAATAAGTAGGGTACCTGAAAGCTCTGTCGTAGATCCTTTTCTTTTTATTCTATATGTTAATGAACTCTTAAGTACAACTGAGTTTCTGCTGTTATTTTGCACTGATGACGAAAAAAATTATCAAGAAATAACAGGAGATGCAGATGAATGCGTGATCCAGACAAACATGGATAACCTGGTCATCTGATTTAAAAATTCTTCTACAAGTATACAGGAAAAATTGCTGATATGCTGGGAAACGTTGAATTCAAGATGGCTAGTATTTGCAAGGGATGTTTAGGATGGCGTGCCACTGGTGATCGGATACGGATCTGCTTCAGCTACAGTAAACTTAATGGGGTCAGCATAGATTTCGAGGACTTAAGGAAAAACTTACTTTGCGGATTTATTCATCACTATATTTCAATCCTACTGCAGATTAAGAGGTGACCAGATTTGAGTACTAAAAAATAATGTTCAAGCTGATACTTCGTTTTTTTCCTTCCTAGCAGACCATTATAAATCAGATTACAAAAAAGGGACGATGATCTATAAGTTTCCACACTGAGTCATCAATTCTTGAAAGCTGTTGCCGAAATACTGTTAGCTCCTTCAAACGACTCATTTGAAAGACGGCTAGACACTCTCAGAAGATTATCAAAAAAAGTCTAACACAGAGTAATGGACCTTCTGCCCTCAAGACAGAAATCCAAAACTTTTTGTCTTAATACTTCGTTTAAGCTCTTTCAGTAGGCACTTACGAAGACACTAAGCCCTCTGTTGAGGGAGGAGGACTAGTATAGGCTTTCGTCCTATACAAACTAAAGTTGTGTTCGCTTCAAGGGAACAGATACTAAAATTGAAACGATACAGAGAAGATTAGCACGGCTCTTTTCTCATGTATTTCTATTAGTGATCTACTGTTCTAGATAAGGAAGCCCGTTGAACAAAAGCTTCTTCTATTCCGTCCAATAACATTTGAACAATGTTGTTACTATAACAACCTTATGGCGGAAATTTCACGTGAAGTGCTACGTTGGCTTCTCACATTAGATATTAATCTAGAACATAGAAACTTAAAATGGTTAGCATCAAATAGGTTTTTCATAGACTGAGAAACAGGTGTGTTTCCAATGGCATTCTAGTGGCTGAAATTTTGCACAATTACCAACCAAAAACGGTGAATCTTGGGAAATTTATTGATGGACAGAGCATAAAAGTCAAGTTACACAACTGGGACATGATTCAAGAGGTTTTTTCAATAAAACGTTTTTGAACGCATTAGATACTACAACGTTTGTGCATTTATTTGCCACCAGATATAATCGAATGTGCAGCTCACAACAAAAGGAATGCAGGAATTATTCTTTTGACCACTCTTCACGAAATATTTTCAAAAAAGAAGTGCGATGTTTATATAACGGTTACAAAGCTTTAGAGTGAAGGAAAGCTTAGCAAAGTTCGACCCCACAAATCTGGAATACCAATTTTCCTTACCAATCTATGCTAGATCATGTCTAGCGAAGTTCATTAAAGATAACCTAACCTCTTCAGAAATGGAGACCACACCAGATATTTTTACTAATCAAAAAAAGGTAGGACGCATTCGCATATCCATATAAATCATTTTCACAGGTTCAAGTGTTAGCGCTGGCTTACAAGAATATGAAAATTACTGAGAGAATGGAGGAACCATGGAGATTTAGATCATCACGGTCATTGGCGTCACAGTGCCGACGTTCTGATTCGTCCAAATCAAACAAAAAGCCACGTACTGAAAGGGCAGGCACTATGATATGCAGTGAGCCAATTGATGGTAAGTGTCGTTTTCGCAATATTTCCTATGTTAGTCCTAGAAATGTTATACTCCCTAGTCTTCTTTTGATGTTTACTTCTTGAGACTTTGAAGAGCTGAAACTTGTCTTATTGATGAGTCAAATTAATCCCACCTTGTGAAAACGAAAACAAACACTCAAATCGATGTTTCTCTGAATGAATAACGAAACGAACACGTGACCACTGTTTATTTTTTCCCTTCAATTCTTACGATTCGCTTTCTTATCAACTAGTTCTCTTGTTTTTATTATTTCTACACTCAACAGCACCGATGAGTTTGTATAACTGAACAATTGACTAAAGTAAATAAAACCACCTCTACCTATTTTTTACTTTAACGAAACATTTCTGAATACATTTATGCCTCATCTGACGTTACGTCTTAGTCTAGTAAGAATACTTATACCTAAGTTCTTGTCATATTTTAAAAACTGATATAAACTATGAATAGTTCCCATCTAGGCTATTAACTTTCTCACCCATTCGGTTATGAGTTGTTATGTAAATCTGAACAATGGACTAGAATTTGGAGCAGATGCGAACAATCTTCTGGTGCTTAAATGAGATTTAACCCAAACCCGATTAAATAAACTTACACTTAGTAAATCAGTTACACTAGCAATGAGCTAACTACAAGGTCTTGTTGTATTCGAGTCATAATTTAAATATAATTCAGTGCCGTTGGGGGTAAAACAAATGTTTTCAATAGTCGTGCTAGAACACAAGTCAACGACATGTGAATCGTCAGATTGCGGCTGTTTTGCTCATTTCAAGACCAAAAGGTCCTGTGTTTACCAACTGCATCATAATAGATATGCACTGCTAGACAATAACAAATTGGTTTCCTAACTTATTTCAGTTCATCATATGAATCGACTCCAAACTGAAGTTCCCAACAGCGTCTTACTCTGCTCATCGTAAAATATTTTCTTGAGGAAAGTTGAGTAGTCATAACAAAAAGCTCTTGTCCTGAGACATGAGATTAAACGTCTTGCGTGAAAGCGCACAAAAAATTTGGATCTACGTAACTCCCGAAAGATAAGTGATCATAGAGATGAGTATGAGAAAACATGACTGTAATGATTCCACCCCGTTTAATATATGCTTCTAAAGTGAAAAACTACATGATTCTCGCAGATAAATGGGACTAATCAAATGGTTTGCATGGTCAAATGGCTTCAAAAGCATGTCTTCCATAAACAACGTTCAACGCCAAATTCTGAATGATACTCAGCAATTGTTATCTGACTCTTTTGATGCTGTGATTATTTTAAACTAAAAACCATATAAGAATGAGATTAAAATAGACTTATTAGTGTAATCTAAGCAAAATAAATATTATTTGGAGCAAACATACTGAGATACAAAGACCGATAGGAATGAAAAGAAGAAGGACCTTCCGTTGGGATAATCTGGGATAAATAATACACAACACAGTCCTAATAATTTGTTCAGTATTGCTTCAAGAAAAGTATTATCTTACTCGTTTGGATTAGCGATAGAAAGAGATTACCTTGTTCCAGATGAGTTAAATAATCCCACTGGTTTATCGAAGATTAGAAGCATTATTATTGGTGAGTGGCGGTTACTCTATTCAGGTGTTTATTTTTCGCATGCACGAAATATGTCTGAAACTAATTACGTAATGATGGTGCATAAACTCATGAAGTCTTAGGTTATTGCGAATATAGAATTGCTTCGTTTTAATATTCATCATTTCACAATAAACATTATAATCAGGGTCATGTCTTGACCTTACAAGACATGGTATCAGACCAAGTTGTCAAAAGAGATATTACTCAAGACGGCAGGTGTCACGTGTGAACAGACTGAATATAGGATTTTCAAAGATCGTGATGAAGAAACAGGCGTACCAGATTCATACTAGTTTATCTGTAACTTCAATATCAACATATTTTCCAGACCTTAAAACTGGCTGGGCTGGAACAGTTTAGTAGCAATTAAATACTAAAACCCGAGTGCGATGAATAGGAGTCAGTGCAACTACTCCAAAATTGTTAAGTTATGCATGACCTTGTTTCTTTGAATCTACATCCCATAAATCCTTATGTAAACAAAACCAAACTGCGTTTCCTTTCTATTCTTTTTTAGAAAAATTATTCGACGATAACGTAATAACGATCAAGCCAAAGCAAAGTTTATAAGTAAATCTGCAGTGACAAACCCACAAATCATATTGTTATAGTTATTTTCTCATAAACCATATTGACTTTTATTCCTAATAACGCTATAAATGATCCTTACATTTTACTGTCTTATTCCCCGTGCCGTTGAGAACAAAATTTAGGCATGTATAGGCCGAAACTTATGATAGGATAAGATTGGAGAAATAAAATATGCCAAGTGCTAGTTTCTTATAATAATCCAGGTTTGTAAAATCTCCAAACCTCAATACAGGCTGCTTACATGTGGCCCCTATAAGGTTATACATTAAACGACAAAATGCAGAACTTAAGTTCGTTCATATATCTGGTATTCGCAGCAGTTAACATATAGTTTTCTCTATAGTATCTAAATACCCGAATCAAAAAACGTATTCAGTGAAATAAGCTACCCAAAGTATGTAAATCTCAAGTACTTGAAGGTAACAATGATGTAGGTATCACTACCGAGTCTTGATTTGGTAATTTTGAATAAATTGAGTAGATTGTTGTAAATAATTTAATATATTTGTAATATCCCATTGAGTAAAAAGATTAGATTTTCCTGACTCAGTGTAAGCCACTTCTTCAGAGAGTATATGAATAAATTTTATTTACATATTTATTTATTTATACCAATGATGTATTATTCTTTTCTTTAACTCATCATTAACTTCGTCGCAATATCTAGTACTCACTAACACATTTTCTCTCAAACATTCGCTCAGGAAAATATTGAATTTATTCTAGCATAAATGGCCTATTACATAGCGATCCTTCCGAAATGAATTCACCAGACAAAACCAAGACTTAGAACAAAACTTATGAATTCATCTATTCAGTAATTAAAGAAAGTGGATAACAGACAAATCGACAAAACACAGCAACGACAACACCCACCAGTAACAGCCCGAGCAATTCCCATGAACGACATAACGTAAGTATTAAGGTAACTTTATCCGACTCTAGAGAATCGGAACATAAAAAACCAAAAAGATGCCTTAAAACATTGCTTCGTTAACGTAGATGCAACGTGTAGCCTAGATATAGGGACCATTCATTGTAACCATGACGTGCGACGAATCAAAGTCCTAGATAGAATACATAAGACCTTTAACATCATGCTTAACACGTCCTGAAAATGTGATCATATGCGAGTACAATGACGGCTTAATGAATTAAGCATACTCTGACCCACAAGTTCTAACTAATAAGACATTTGCCTGTTTTCGACCTTTTAGTATAATTACTCAGGTTGAAAACAGTAACTCAATCGACTACACAGAAATATATTTATCTAAATAAGCCGTCATGTGACAACTTACAAATGTACTCGCTGGCCTAACAGAACAATGACGCTAGCTATGACACACATGTGTTCAAGCAGAATTCGACAACTGACCGTTCAGATCATCAGCTGTATTGGTCCGGAAGGTTTTTTAGTGCGCACTTCCATTACTTACTTATTTACGCCTGTTACCCCTTGTGGAGGAGCATATGCCGCTCACCAGCATTCTCCATCCAACTCTATCCTGAGCCTTCCTTTCCAGTTGCTATTCAGCCTTTTCATATCGGCTTCTATTTCCCGGCGTAGTGTGTTCTTTGACCTTCCTCTTTTCCGCTTCCCTTCCGGATTCCAAGTTAGGGATTGAGTCGTGATGCACATTGGTGATTTCCTCAATGTATGTCCGATCCACTTCCAACGTCTTTTCCTAATTTCCTCTTCAGCTGGAAGCTGATTTGTCCTCTCCCATAAAACGCTGTTGCTGATAGTATCCGGCCAGTGGATGTTGATTATTGTAAATCATATTCGTTTTCTATAATCAGTAGAAAACTGTACTTCTATATTCTACTCATTGTAAGCTTCCACTGAATCCGTTAAACATCGTTCTGGGTTTACTTATCACTCAAGAACTGCTCATTAATTTTGTACTGTTTGCTTTGGTCTCTACCACTTATAACATGATTGTATTTAAAGTATGATTTCTTATTTGTTGAGCTGGCGTGGTCTGATAATTCGTGTATATGGTTTAATGAGTGTTTGAGGTAGATGTTGACTACTAGGGTGAGTGGTTGAAATATAATCATAATGAGAGATTGCTTGCAGACTCCTTTTCTGACTCAGTGTTAAGGCTAGAGAAAGGCTTGTAGATAGGGGGATCGATAGGAGTTTAGCTCAGGGTTAATTGTGCCGGTTAGACCGCATAATCAGTCAAGTCCTAAGTTCTATGCTATTGATGGAATAACAGTCGCGGGGTTGGAAATTTCTAATCAGAATTTCAATTGGCGAATTTAGCATGTGATATTAACTAGAATCTAAAGTCTTATCAGCTGAGATAAATTTCCATTGCCCAGTTTGATACTTTGTACCTTGTGATTTTGTTCTGATAAACAGGAGTACTAACTTGATAAATATCTAGAAATCCATGGTGCAAGTTATGTAATAAATGAATAACTTTAGTTATGTCTTAATCATAATTACTTACTTACTTACGTCTGTTACCCCTTGTGGAGGAGCATAGGCCGCTCACCAGCATTCTCCATCCAACTCTGTCCTGAGCCTTCTTTTCCAGTTCTTTCCAGTTGCTATTCATCCTTTTCATATCGGCTTCTATTTCCCGGCGTAGTGTGTTCTTTGGCCTTCCTCTTTTCCGCTTCCCTTCCGGATTCCAAGTTAGGGATTGAGTCGTGATGCACATTGGTGATTTCCTCAATGTATGTCCGATTCACTTCCAACGTCTTTTCCTAATTTCCTCTTCAGCTGGAAGCTGATTTGTCCTCTCCCATAAAACGCTGTTGCTGATAGTATCCGGCCAGTGGATGTTGAGTATTTTGCGTAGACAATTGTTTATAAATACTTGTACCTTCCTGATGATGGTCGTAGTAGTTCTCCACGTTTCAGCTCCGTACAGTAGGACTGTCTTGACGTTCGTATTAAAGATTCTGACCTTGAAATTGGTTGAGAGTTGTTTTGAGTTCCATATGTTCTTCAATTGTAGAAATGCTGCCCTTGCTTTGCCAATCCTCGCCTTTACATCTGCATCCGATCCCCCTTGTTTATCAACGATGCTCCCCAGGTACTTGAATGTTTCCACCTCTTCCAGAGTTTCGCCATCAAGTGTGATTGGGTTGGTGTTCTCCGTGTTGCATTTGATAATCTTGCTTTTTCCTTTGTGAATGTGGAGGCCTATCGATGCAGAGGCTGCTGCTACATTTGCTGTCTTCATCTGCATTTGGTCGTGTGTATGAGAGAGGAGGGCTAGGTCATCTGCGAAGTCCAAATCATCTAATTGATTCTGAGAAGTCCATTGTATTCCGTATTTCCCTTCAGATGTCGAATTCTTCATAATCCAGTCAATCACTAGAAGGAAGAGGAATGGGGAGAGTAGACAGCCTTGTCTGACTCCGATGCATCTGTCAGCTGTCCTCCATGCACCACTTTGCACTGTAGTCCATCGTATGAGTTCTGGATAATGTTGACAATCTTTTCAGGAACTCCATAGTGTCGAAGAAGTTTCCATAATGTTCTCCTGTCCATGCTGTCAAACGCCTTCTCATAGTCAATGAAGTTGACGTATAGTGATGAGTTCCACTCAACTGATTGTTCAACGATGATCCGTAGCGTCGCAATCTGGTCTGTGCACGACCGATCCTTACGGAATCCAGCCTGATGATCCCTAAGTTCAGCGTCTACTGCGTCTTTCATCCGATTCAGCAGCACTCTGTTGAAAACTTTTCCTGGTACTGATAACAAACTGATGCCTCTGTAGTTCTCACATTTGCTCAGATCTCCTTTCTTTGGTATCTTGATGAGATATCCTTCTTTCCAGTCCGTTGGCACTTGTTCCTCTTCCCAAATCTTCTTGAATAGAAGGTGAAGCATATTTGCAGTTATTTCAATGTCAGACTTCAGTGCTTCTGCTGGTATATTGTCAGGTCCTGTCGCCTTCCCACTTTTGATTTGTCTGATGGCCATCTTGACTTCTTCGATCGTTGGTGGAGTGATGTCTATTGGAAGGTCAGTGTGGGCTGCTTCGATGTTCGGTGGATTCAATGGGACTGGTCTATTCAGCAGTTCCTCCAAGTATTCTGCCTATCTTTTCCTCTGTTCTTGAATCTGTGATTGTCTTTCCTTCTTTGTCTTTGACTGGTCTCCCTGGTTTGCTATATTTCCCTGCCAATTTCTTCGTTGTCATATAGTTGTTTCATATTCCCTTCTCTTGCAGCTTTTTCCGCCGCCGTTGCTAGTTCCCCCATATATTTCTGCTTGTCGGCTTTAATGCTTTTCTTCACTTCTCTGTTTGCTTCTGCGTAGTCTGCTTGTGCTTTGACTTTCTCTGCTCGTGTTCGGCTGTTGTTAATTGCTAGTTTCTTGTTCTTCCTTTCTTGAGTTTTGTCCAGGGTTCCCATAGAGATCCATTCCTTGTGATGATGCTTCTTAGGATCAAGAACCCCCTGACACGTTGAAGTTAGGGCTTCTTTTATCCCTTTCCAGTTGTCCTCCAAAGTAGTTTCTTGTTCTTTCAGTAGATCCTGTAGAGCTTGGAACCTGTTGTTGAGAAATATCTTGAATTCATTGAGCTTGTCAGTATCTCGAAGGAAGGCTGTATTGAACCTTTGTATTGCTGTTTGTCCAGTTGTCCAGTCTTTCTTTAGCTTCAGTCTCATCTTGGCCACAACCAGGTGGTGATCTGAAGCTATGTCAGCTCCTCTCCGGGTTCTCACATCTTCCATTGATCTTCGGAATTTTTTGTTGATACAGATGTGATCAATCTGGTTCTCTGTGGTGTGGTTCGGTGAGATCCATGTAGCTTTGTGTATACGTTTGTGTGGGAATATTGTGCCGCCTATAACCAATTTGTTGAATGCACATAGGTTTGCAAGTCTCTCCCCATTTTCATTTCTCTCTCCTAATCCATGTCGTCCAATTACATCTTCATATCCTGTGTTGTCCACCCCAACTTTAGCATTTAGATCTCCCATCGGGATTGTGAGGTCCTTTCGTGAGCACTTCTCTATAATTGATTGCAGCCTTTCATAGAACTGATCTTTATCATCGTCGTTGCTATCATTAGTGGGTGCATAACATTGGATAATGTTCATTTTGATCCCTTGTCTCTTTGTTCTGAATGATGCTTTGATTATCCTGGGTCCATGAGATTCCCATCCCACAAGTGAATTTCGTGCTTCTTTGGACAGTATTAGAGCAACTCCCTGAGTGTGTGGAGCATTTTCCCCTTCGTGACCGGAGTACAGCAGCATCTCTCCTGTACCTAGCCTTTGTTGTCCAGTTTGTGTCCAATGGGTTTCGCTGATTCCGAGTACTGCCAAGTTGTATCTTCTCATTTCCATTGCTATTTGGTTGGTTTTTCCTGTCTCCCACATTGTCCGGACGTTCCATGTACCTATAAGGAGTGTTGCTCTGGTTGTTAGAAGGTGCATCGGTCTCGTGACTTCCGAAGAATTTCGGCTTTCATCATGAGACGTCATAATTATTCCTTCAACTCCCAGGGCAGAGTTTAAATGGTTTGAATTATTTTTTCTGGTTAGCGTTTTTTTAGCGAGTTAGCTTTTCTACGGGATGGGGTCGCTAACCCCATGCCCAACCCTCCTCCTTTACCCGGGCTTGGGACCGGCAGTAACTCTAGAAGAGCTACAGGCGCACTTCCATATCCAACTAAAAATCTAAGAATAATAGAAAGAGGTAGTCAGGTAACAACGTTAAACATGGAACATAGTCATTGCTTCACGTTACTATGTGCACTGTAAAAATCAGAAGCACAGTAACTAACACTGAATGTAAAGTATATGTTAAAGTGAGAAGTACTGTATGTAGGGAAAGAATCTAATCTATGGATGAAAACTGAATGCATAAGGCTAGATTTTTAGACAATGAAAAACGAACCTAAAACCGCCAAAAATAGAATCGGCGTCAAGAAATACCACAGCGCAGAAAGCGTGTTAACCCTCAGGTTATAAACATATCAGCATGTTAAATATCAACAAATATAGCAGGACAACGCTTAGGTACTTCTAAAAAAGTACACGGGGGAGCATGATGGGGAAAAATTCGTAGCTTAGAGTGGTGTTGAGTACTCTTAGCTGCTGGTATAATGTGAAATCTCAAAAAACAGACAAGCAAACTGGTTGGACCTTCCAGTCTGTACCCTGGAAACAACTGATATTTAAGCCTTGTACCGATGACCACTAGGATTCATAGCTTATAAACGACATCAAGATAACGCTTATCAAGGTGAATTTAATTGGACAGCACTTGACGCCAATCCAGAGTACTTAAAACTTAGCTCCGAACGCAATTCAACAGCAAAAGGACACTATCTCTTTGAAGGGAGTACTCAAGGCGAGCAACACAAATTTTCCAGACAACCAGGAATATGAGCATGACTAGACAGCTTAGCAATCAAGTCTTAAGATCGTAAGCGAAGCACAAATTACTACAATCACCGACTTCCAATCATATCAGTTACTTTAACCTTACGTGAGTGTTATAAAGACTTCACCCCGTTTTCATAGAAGATTGAGTCTGTGTTCTATTTGAAAAGGTATTTTCTCCCTACACGCAACGCGACTCTGAGTTATTTGAGTGAAAATATCAGAACTATCTTTTCAACGTGAGGTTTATTACTTAGAAGTTTGCTATGACCTTATTTCAATTCTTGAGCACAATGACGGTACTAAGGATGCGGCCATCATTTGAGCACCTAAGCGGATACTGGATTTCTAAGGTAGTTGTTACTATGATCAAATACTATCGCCTGATCCTAGTTTCTAGTAGTTGACTGGTTTATGAAGGCTTTCACGTCTCAGAGGAAGTACGGAATTCAGTGGAAACAACCTGGATAGTCAGATTATTTGGACTCCGCAGATGACTAAACTCATCTATCCCGTACACAGCAACGAGTGGGGCCAGAACTTTCGGATTTGGACCCAATATTGAGAAAGGGAAATTTAAGACTCTAACATACAACACAGAGACAACCGAAACCCCACTTGGTTAGGAGCCCCAGGAGTGAAAACCCCTACTTACTGTGGCAGTATCACCGATAAACAAGGAGACCCGACGCAAATGTGTAGGCAGGGATAAGGGAAGCGAGAGTACCATTTGTATAATTCAAGAACATGAGACATAAATGTCAGCCAACATCAAAGTCACAATTCCTGACACAAACATCAAAACAGTTTCCCTATATAAAGCTGGAACTTGGAGAACTAATGTTACCATCATCAAAGAGGTAAATGTATTTATATACACTTATTTAGTCAAGATACTGCAGATCTGTTGGCCAGACACCATCAATAATAATCTGCTGTAACAGAGAACGAAACAAATTCCAGCTGAAGAGGGAATTGAGAGAAGCTGGAGGTGGATAGGTTAAATTTTAATAAAAATCATAAGATCGGGATACGAGGCAGGCCCCAACTTAGAATCCTGAAGGCAATGAAGAGATGCTGACCGAAAGCATTGCATAAGGAATCTGAGATAAGATTCAAGAGAATGGATAGCACTCGGCAAGAACTGGAATGTAGAAGTCAGGATGGAGTAGAATATATACTTTTGACCAGCAACCTTTACGAGGGGTCACAAGTTATTCCGCTTCAAATTATGGAACGATTAGTGTTTCCGAGCAAAGCTTTTGACCAACATGACCGAAGAGCAATGAATGACAGTTGTGTGAAAAATGGATTTAAATGAACGAGGAAAAGTAGTACTTATTACTTAAGGATGTTGCAGCCACTGAGAAGCTCACATAGTTTTTAAACCAGTTTATTAGGATAAAAATTTACTTCAAAACAGGTTAGACCAAACGTATGTTCTTCGCATGAGCAACGTTCTGAAAGAAAGATCGTTAATACAATCAAAATACATACCATGCTTTGCAACATTTCTTGTGCTACGGGGTCAATTTCAAGGGCCATAGAATCAAATATTGAAACCTCCGGCTGGTAGTTGTCTCTTCGTTCTCTTTCTTCTTCCTGAAGCTTAATACTAATACCACGCACAGGGCCAGCTTCGAAACGCTTCATCAAATGAGTCACATAACCTGCGATCATGTTTCGCAATCTTTTTGACCCTATGCATGCGATGTCTTGACAAACGAATTTGTTTGTATGGAAGTCTCGGGTCAGTTTGGAGTAAAACCTTTCGATTATATACCTCGAAGCTTTCTTCACTGTCTTTGTTCGGACTCGACCCTAAAGACATGATATCAGCTAGACTACAAACATACCATGACCACACGGTTTTTCAAGTTACGCGGCAACTACTAATGACCTGCCAAACAAGCCAAAGAATCAATTATTTAAAATATTTATTCGTCAAAGAAATACGATACCGTTTCAATCAAGCCTAAAGAATTTTCTAGATCAACTTTGGGTTTTTTTCAGGTTATTATAACGGCGTGACATGGAAAGTGGTGATGAATTGGCTGAAATACTAAAGATGAGCCTGTAGGGCCAGTGAAATGTCACTGATCGAAATAGTCATAGTAAATCTTAGCCCTGAGTCTAGAGTTGATGCTTCATTTATAAACTGGCTGAAACGTTGTTCATATGTGAACCTTTAGTAGATTATTTTAAAGCTCGGGGTCTCAAATTCAAACCTTATGAAGAGCGCCTCAAATCACTTAACCTTTACCCGTTAGAGTATAGGCGTCTTAGAGGTGATCTTCTTATGACTTATAGTATCCTTAATACTTCTGGTCATCCCCTTAAACAACTTCTTAAGCTTAGTCATAACACTAACCTGAGAGGTAACACCCAGAAATTGGAGACCCTACATAGCAGAACAGACTGCAGACACAACTTCTACTCCGTTAGAGTTTTCAAGTGCTGGAATTCGCTGCCAACTGAGCTAGTCCAAGCGACCTCCCAGGAGTCCTTTAAGAGAAAACTTGACTTATTCTTAAGGACTAAGGATAACATATTATTATGATTTACCAAATTCTTTTTTTTCCCTCTATTATCGTTCATATACCTAGGTTCTTGCCTGGAGGTATTGGTGATCCACTGCTACCAGACACGGAAGCCCGTTAAGCGAAAGCTTCTTCTATTCCGTCCTCAACCATTTGAACCATTTGAACCTATTATCTGTAAATCTAATGATTCATCCACTATTTCTTTTAAATATAGGCTATCAACCATACAGTTGTCAGGTTTTATTTAACTGCCGCAACTATCTAAGGCGCTACAAAAGTTTGAGCCTAAGGAAAGTCCCAACTAAGGCTGTCATGATTCATGCTTTCCTCCGAACAATACGGTCAAAGTTGCACACTTAAACTAGTGGTCGCCTCTCGAAATTGAAATGGTATGTGTCTCTATTTTGTGGCTTTAAAATCCTGAACTTACTTCTCTTTCATGATCGCTTCCTAAAAGTATTCTTACGACTGTTCAGTAGACCCCTAGTATTTAAGTACACACGGGGCACATGTAGTGATAAAAAAAATAATTCGATAATAAATAAAAGTATATGTGCGAAAGATGTGTATAACTAGTATCAATCATTCATTCATCAAAATGCTTACATTTATGAATGAATCACTACTCGGTCACTCGTAACTACTTGATCTTCCGTATACACTGACATATCCTTGTTTACATTTACAGCTGCATAAAAATAAACTGAGATTCAGTGATCCAAATTAAGGTTTGAATTTGGTTCAATCCACATTATGAATCTTCATGGAAAACGAAATGCTTATCTTAGTTTTATCTAAGGGAGTTTATGAGCCCATTTGTGATAGTCTTGGTTCAGTGGTCACTCAAGACATAAACTAGTCGCTTGAATACAGCACGCAATATGAGTTATCACTTATCTGCTATATAGAACTCGACACATTTCTCCGTAAAAGCGACTTAAGACAGCTCGAAATAAACGCAATCTACAATCCCTAAGCAATTGTTCGATTATCGTGTCGAACCACTCTTTACTCACCCAGCTTTAAATTATGGCAAGTAACTCTAGTAAAAGAGAAATTTCACCAATTTTCAAGTCTATTAAAAGGTCAAAGTCTGTAATCCCTATGGCCGATGACTCAGTATCTGAAAATGATAAACCTTTATCTTCTGAACCCTATGCATCCTATCCTACCTGATTCTCTATGTAACAACCCCTCTAGCTCTTCGTGTAGTATGTCAACGGTAAGACTAGTTGATATAAAAAGGCACAATACCCATGTGCATCGAAAAGTCAACACAGTCTACCAGACAGCATGCTTTATTAAGGCCTAAACCGAAAATTTCAAAAACCAAGGAGTCTAAAAGCTTATCTCACAATCACGAAAATACTGATCCATATAGTACTAATATCCGTCAGTTTCAAAACTCTAGCCGAAATTAACGGCTTAACCAATTAGCACACCTCACACATATGTGGGGTATTAATACTGATAAAAATCTTGAACAACTCACTAAAGCTGAGTGTATTTAGAGTTTGTGGCTGAAGAAGTTACGAGAAAAGTAATGTTTTCTCACAGTGCGGTTGTATACAATCTCCCTGATCGCATACACCCAAATAAGTTAAGGGACATTTGCCTTGGAGTATGCGGTATGCTGAACGTCAACGACAAAGTCATCCGTCTTAGAAAAAAGTCGGATTGATTGACTTGCCCTCGCCTTTTCAAGTTTAGTTGTTGTAACGATGTTAAGCAATTTTTTGATGAGAGAAAAGATATTAGCTCATTGAGTCCATACAAGGGCATAAAAGTCAATCCTGACCTAACGCCCTTTCAACATCGTGTAAGAAGGCGTGAAGTGATAGAGTCGTATGATAGTGTTGTAGTAAATAACCAGCTAAAGGCCGTTCGCAACATAGTGAATAATATAAAGCGCGTGAACATTAAGTGTGATATCATTTCACAAACGGCAGGTCAATCCCTAGATCTAGATGAATCTGCAGATCCGAAACCTTTAGACAAGATACGGATTCCGACTGTCACCAACGACATCCCTGATACCGGCTGTTCACTCAGTAAAGTACTAAGGTGAGCCATGTGACGACACACATCCGACTAAACATATTAACTTGAAAATTAGTCCCCCTAAAGATACTCTACAATATGACTCGAAAGAACCTAAATTCATCTCACAGAGGCAACAAAACTCTCCAGCTCCGACAAAAAATAGGGAAACACGTAAGATTGAGACCAACTGTTCTGTGGATATTCCAACAACACTGAATAGGATCTACCCGATGATATCATACAACTTGCCATCAACACCTCTAAGTTGCAAAATGGGTAATAGGCTTGAGCGTAACAGACCTTTTTACATGCATATTAACAAAACCTACCAGAGTACTGATCACTTCACTCACCCTCTAAAGCCTAAGACCAATAATAATCATGGTAATTATGGGTTCCCCATCCCACACCCTATCTGGATTCTCCAGGATCACAATTTTAATTACTCTCAGTAAGAACATTTTCCATACCCCTCGGTACCACCTCACCACATAAAACCGGTTTCCATGCATAATAACTGTCGTAACTACTTCCACTTACGTGTAGCAGACACACCTCATGCTTACACCGACGGAAATAGCTATAACAGAGGTCACGAGCTCAACCATCAAAACTATTTCGCAAATAACAGTGCACTTAACAGTCAACCTGCATCAGATTTTTGGGAATACGGCCCCTGGTTGCACCCTTGTGGAAGCATATAGCCCAAGTCATTTCAAACCACATGCAGGACATAAATTTGCCTCCCCCACACAGTTCCAATCAGAGAATACGCCCACATTTTTCTCCTGGGTAAACTCCACAAGCAACTTCACTAGCTCATTTGATACATCCCTCACTAACCCCAGCTGTCGAAATACACAGCTATTGAAGAATATTCACTCCCTTACTTCAAATCCATGTCACAATTTTAATGGAGATACTTTCACTCATTTTAACTTAGTAGGCCATTTGTTTAATATGTGTCTTATCAACACTAGGTGGATCTGAAATAAAAAAGACGGATTTAGCCTTGTTTTTATCCATATATCAACCATCGCTTATAATGATATCTTGAGTATGGACTAACAGTAATATTTCCGGCCTAAGTATATCTCTTGATAACTATTTCCTATATAGAAGTAATAGATTGGAAGGACGAGGCGGAGGGTGCCTTATTTACGCCCACTCAAGCTTAAACTCTGTAATGTGGGACATGCCTGAACTAAACAAACTGCAGGATTCTATGAGGATTGCTTTAAAGCCATCGAATTCCATTACCTTACTGTTCGACTGTGTCTACCGTCACCCTAACGCATCAATAGCAGAAATAGCAACATTAGGGGTTTTCACAATAGAATCATTCCTACCGTTCACAGGCAAACTTATTTGTTGCGATTTCAACATGCCTGAAACTTCTTGGTTCGCAGTCAAGGCGCCAAAGTATTATGAATCATTTATTGGATGTCTAGAACTTGGATAGTGGATACAGTATGTCAGTAGCCCTACCAGACATCAAAATATATTGGGCTTCGTCTTTACCAGTGGCCTGACCCCCAATACTGTGTATATTGGAAAACATTTTCCAGGTAGTGACCATAACATTGTCAAATGTAGCCTTAATATAAAAAACACAACCGGTAAACGTAGAGATGTAACACTTCGTAGAAACTATCACAAGGTTGACTGGAATAACTCTCACGATTTCCTAAGAAGCACTGATTGGGGAACTTTTTCTACTGCAAACAATACCGACACACTAAATAATATATTCTACCACGACATCAGAAAAATCATCAAAAAGTCGAACCTCTAGAATACTGGAGATCTAAGTTTTCTAAAGATCTGTATATACCGGTCGGCACACGAATACATCTTCAAAGACATTGTACTCGACTACAAAATTTTAATGACTACCCCTCTTTAGTCACGATGACAGAAATACTTATCCGAACAGACGCAATAGGTACACAAAAACAGGCGAACAGGAAACACGCTCTGTAGATTTTAATAATAACTTCTCTGCACTCACCATACTCTTTCCAAATAAACTTAAACGTTCTAAGTCGAGAGGGAACATATTTGTTAAAGACAAACAAGATCCTAAACTTGTTACGGAACTATTTGGTGAACACTTTTGTTCCTCATTAACTGATGAAAAACTACTAAATGATTCAGAACTAATCCCAGCACTTCCCTGTTAGATTACTGATGTGGACTCTAGTGTACAAAAGATCTCTAATGCAATTAGTACGTTGAAACACTCCTACACTGATGGACCAGGTGATATTCCG